CAAAAGGGTGGGACTGTAATGATTCAAATAAGGGGATCATGAATTATGACTATAATTGCCCTAAGATGTAAAGTTTACTGCTTCCAGCCTGTTTACTCCTTCTGGACATGTCTTGGGTCACAATCAGAGTTTGCTGAAAAGTCAGGCTGAATTTGCTGAATCTGTGTAACTGAGGACATGGCATCTTCACAGCATGGATACTGTCACCTGCTGACTTAAGGCTCTGGAGTCACCGTTCACAACAAGTAGCCAGACGAAGAGAGTCTAGAAACCATAGTAGAAATAGGCAAAGGAAAAGATTTTTTTCCAGTTCACTGAGTAGCAATAAATTGTAGCAAAGCATGAAAAGCATTCTAGGAACAAGCAATTATTTATTCAGTGCTTAGGATGCACCACTCTCTGTTGCTTCAAATACCAAAGTTTCATTGCTTGTCTATAAAATATATATATATACATTTATATATATATAGAAAGGGGAATGATGAAAATACAGACAGGTAGCACTACAAGTACATTGATTTTGGAATTTAAATGCTGGTAAGCCTTCCAAACATTGGGGCAAGGAGCTAGTTTAGTATGCTGAAGAAGCAGGATCTTTGTGTAGAGATAAACTATCCGTCAAAACCTGCACCACTGCCCTGGGGTATTCTCATGGGTCACTTCTCTGCTCCTGATGTGCCTCAACTCTAATATAAGAAAAGTTATTTTTTTACACTTCACATAAAATTTATATTAAAGATAAATATTATATCACATATATATGCATATGTATACACACACACAGGCACAGTGTCTAATCCAAGAAGAGACAACGATTCAACAAAGAAATCAAAACAGAGTCCACATGACATCAGACCACCCTGAAGGTCTCTGAGGATGTTGCCCCATTGCTAACTGCGTTTTCACATTGTTGATGAGACTGCCACTGATTCATTAGTCACTTCCAAAACTTGGTCACCAAGGACTATTTGTTGTTCAAGCAGAGGTTCCCTGTACACTGGTGGCAATATAATGCTATGGTTGCTACTGTAGAAAGTGGCAGGGAGGCAGGCTCCCTGCCCAGGAAATTCAGGTGAGCTCCTCAGACAAACCAGGAAAAAATATTCCTTTGTCTCTACACCACGCTTCTCTCCCACTGAACAGAGGAAATAGGAGATGTTGCATCAGATGCCTTTGGTATCAGACTCTGTGAAGAAGAGGGGTAGTGAGCCTGACCTACTACTAGAGGCAATGAAACCCTAAGCTAGAATTGTCTCTTGAACTGTCTACCATCAGACTGTCCATTGTCACAGGTGGGTGTGAATGTGTGAGTTGTATGTGTGTGCACATGAGCCCTCATCCATGCATTCTGTGCAGGGTGAAGCTGGGGGCTGACATAAGTGGAACGCAAGAGTGCAGAAGGAAGCACACACAAGCCACCTGAACATCTTGATGCCCCTCGAACTTTGGTTTTCTCAAGGACTCCTAAACAAGAGCTGTTACCAAAATAAGTGTGCAATTGTTATGATGCAATTTTCCACATGGCCTAAACACAGACAGAGGGTGCATACAATCAGTTTTTAAATCTGGTGTTCAGTTAGATCTAAGTGATACTTCCAAATGGAGTTTGACAATCATGTCTAGTAAGTTCCTATTCTGAAGGAACATAACATTAAAAATTTCCTGCTTTGGTCACTTTATCCTTCATCCTAGCCATAACTACCATGAAAGGGACTATTACTACAGAAACAGGTCAATGAAAAGCTGTAGAAAGGACATATCCATCCAATAATATTCATGAACATCAAGAAATCAGATACCAGTATTATAAATGACTATACAGGGATTTCATTTTATTATCTACCTGTTATTTAAGTCCTTCTTGACTCTTTCTTGGGAATTATAGCATTCAGACTCTCCTTGAACCTAAACAATCCAGGCCATTGGCAGCCTCTGTCCCAAATGAAAACTAAGTGAAGTTTGTCCCAAAAACAAGTAGGTCAAAGTGTCAGAAACATATTTTAAAATTCACTAAGTAGAGAGTGGATGAAGGAAAAAAGAACTGTATTAATCACGTTTACAGCTACTAAAGTGACAGTGTGAATAGGTAACATTGCTTAGACTAAATTAGCAAGGACTATCTATCAATGTTAATTTAAAACACTATGTGTAGGAGGAAGGTAGCAAAGATTATTATTTAATACTATTTCAAACTACTATTCATCCAGCTAAAAATAAATAAACAAACAAACAAACAGCCCTCAGTCCCTCAGAGAAGTGTTCCAATTATAAAACAAAACATTGGTGTGCTTGCTGTTAGATAAGGACCAAATGGAATAATCTTACACTCAAAGGACCTGCCACCAAGGCATAGGAAGTATCAATATGCCATAAAGCTGAATATAGTAAAAGACATGAAATTTGTTCCCTTAATAAAAATTCTTCAAAGGTTAAGAAACAGAAGTAGCATTTACTTAACAAGCTTTGTGAATTAAACCACAATGCTCATGAGAGATAATTATCATACTAAGCACGGTAAACCTTAAGTTAGTAATCATTTAACTATAACATGATTGCGTTCACCAGTCTTCCCTAACCACACAGAACAGGAGTTCCAGTAAGAGAAGGAAGGAGGCATTTTAGCACCTAGGGACGTACAGGTGTGGGAGGGTGGAGCAGGTACGGCAAAGGCTGTTATGAAGAGTTTCAGTGCTCGACAACGGAGGAAGAAAGGAAGGGAGTAAAGAGGGAGGAACGAGGGCAGATGGAGGCAGGGAGAAATGTCAGGAGTGCAGACAGGAACGGGGCTGTCACTCCTTTCACCTGTCAAGAGTTTCCCCTGGAAAGTACAGGGCAGATCCCAGCTCTCCACTAAACTCTCTCTCCCATGAGCCCAGCACGGGGCCAGCTTTCCCTGCTCCAAATCAGCTCTGTGAGCCCTGGCTAATGTGTCTGACTAACCCAGCTTTCGGGGAGAGCTGACACTGAGGACTTTCATAGAAAGAGCCTAAGGAAACTGAGCTTGGGAAAATATGATTACCTGCCAGTATAACTAAGAGACAGATGGTGAAGGAATGAGCGTGAAATAATTACTGCCCCCAATCCAAAGTCGCATGGTCAACTGTCTTGAGTTACCAAGTCACACAATGCACTAACATGAAATGCTATTGGCCATGAGTAGCCTCAAGTCTCTTTTAGGGAACAACTCTTCAGAGTTGGCCCATCAGTCTCTGAAGTCACGCTCTGCAAAACCGAATGAATGAATGTTGATCCATTGCCTGAGCAGTGGGAAAGCAGTTTTGATTCTCAGTTGGAAACATACAAAGTGGGTAAAATTGGGACAACTGTTTGAATTACATAATTACAGAATTAGTTTTTTCCTCTCTTGTAGCATTCTGTGGGGTTTCCCTATAAATCCTTGATATAAACCTAAAATTTCTCGCTGAACAATTAATCCCCCATAACGCAAAGACACCCAATATGCAAACTATTGTGCCTGCTGGATTCCCTATGAGAATGAATTTCTCATATTTTCTCATACAGGATGGAGATCTGAGAACACCTGCTTGAAATACTCATCTCAATGAAAGTTTGGACATGAAGGGAATGGGAATTTGCTGAGCCTGTGTCTACTGTGAACCTGAAAAAACATAGAGGGCAAAGAGGCTTCAAACTGCTGGGAATTCAAACGGACAGAAATAAATGCCAAAAAGAAGGTCATATGCTTCACAGCTTATTTAAAAGGTTGGTTGATTTTGTTCCAGGATGTTACTGGGGCAAATCCCAGAGCACATAACTGGTAGGGTTGGAAGATGAGTGGGCAACTAGTGGGAGAGGTGATTTGATGAGGGAAGCAATAGAAACTGTTCAAAGAGGAGGCCACAGGAACTATGCCTGCAGTGGATTCTGAGGACTGGGTGCTACTGAAAGCGAGTGTGGAACCCTCTGAGCTCTGCCCCGACCCAACACATCACAAAACGACCAAGTCAGTTCACAATTAGGCTCCAGAAAAACTGTCTTCATACCAATTCAGAGGATTCAGAAACCCTTCTGCCTAAGCAATGCCAACCCCGGGCTTAGAAATATTTTCTTTCACTTCTACACAAAAATGACAAAACAAAGATATATCTTTGTGTTATAAATGTTCATCTTCTTGAGAGACAACGTGAAGCAGAAATAGGACTTTTTAAATTTTTTTTTAATTTTTTATTACCTTGCAATACTTGAACATTTCAGGGGGTGCCAAGCAAACTCTCAATACACATGGGGCAGCAGAAACATCAACCAGGCAATCAGGCCTTCCCAGGACTTTATCTTCTTGTGGGAGCCCAGCAGCTCCTCCCTTCAAGTTCCTTATGCACCCTATAATACATCATTGTGAGACAGAGCCGCCCACTGTGCTGTGGAGCACTGAACCCCTTGTTCCTCCATGACTCGTGTGGGTCCCCATGATCCAACCTCCCGCCACTTCTTCCCGCCCACCCACCCCAAAATCACGTTCCTAAAGAACTAACACTTGTAAATGAATGTGCTCCTGTTGAATTTCATCACAACACAAAACGTTCAACATGAAATCCTAGCCCATTGACACTTCTTACTTTTGAAAACTGAGCATTTCACTATGGTAGAAAAAAACAAACATAGATGATGATGAGAAGGAAGAAAATTTCAAATTGGTCAGGATTTCATCCACAATAACATAAAATAAAACCTGTAGGTCAAAGCAATATTGTTGAGAAACTGCATCCCGGGCATACGATTTATGTTTTCTTTGTTTTTTTTTTTTACTAGACATATTTAAAAATATGATTTACAATCTAATATTAGAAATCTAAGTTCTATTAGATATTTCCCATAGGAGTTTCCTACACAGAGGCACGGCTGTGCTACACATTGATGACCAAGTAAAAGAAGAGGAAGTGCACAGGAGCTTGCTTGCAGGACCTTTGTCAGCTTCTAACGCCAGCTTCCGTGACACCTCTCTGCAGGTCCAGTCCTTCTCGACTTGGCACAAGGCAGGGATGAGAAATCAGACAGTTTTAACAACCTTCATCCTGCGGGGACTGACAGACAACCCAAAACTCCAAGTTCTGCTTTTTGTGTTTTTGTTTCTCGCCTACTTGTTCAGTGTGGCTGGAAACCTCACCATCATCACCTCACACTTCTGGATTCTCACCTTAAAACCCCCATGTATTTTTTTCTCCGAAATTTCTCTTTCTTAGAAGTCTTGTTCACCACAGTCTGCATTCCCAGATTCCTGTACACAATGACAACTGGAGATAATACCGTGACCTACAACGCTTGTGCCACCCAATTATTTTTTGTGGTCCTCCTAGGGGCCACAGAGTTTTTCCTGCTGGCCGCCATGTCCTATGACCGCTACGTGGCCATCTGCAAGCCCCTGCACTACACGACCATCATGAACACCAGGGGCTACCTCATCCTTGTCCTCTGCTCTTGGCTCGCTGGCCTCTTAATTGTCCTCCCACCTCTCAGCATGGGCCTCCAGCTGGAATTCTGTGCCTCGAATGTGATCGATCATTTTGGCTGTGACGCATCTCCCATTCTACAGATAACTTGCTCTGACACGGTGTTAATTGAGAAAGTCGTCTTGAGTTTGGCCATACTGACCCTCATGATTACCCTAGGGTGTGTAGTGCTTTCCTATGCATGCATCCTCAAGACCATTCTAGAGTTCCCCTCTGCTCAGCAAAGGAAGAAGGCCTTTTCCACCTGCTCCTCCCACATGATTGTGGTCTCCATCTCCTATGGCAGCTGCATCTTCATCTACATCAAACCTTCAGCAAAGGAAGGAGTGGCCATGAATAAGGTGGTGTCAGTCCTCATAACTTCAGTTGCCCCTTTGCTTAACCCATTCATTTATGCGCTTCGAAACAAACAAGTGAAGGAAGCCTTTCAGATCACTGTGAAAAGGATCGCCTTTCTCACCAACAGGTGAGAACACTTCCTGCTTGTTGACACTAACTCTAATTTACATCGCCATAGCCCATGAGCAACATTAATGAATTTGACAAATATGTGGCTACTATTCAAAAGAATCACCAATCTAATCTTTCCACAAGAACATTTCTCTCTGAAAATCCAAACACCAAAACCAGCCAATGTCTTTTGCTACCTTTTAAGTTTATTCAGAATGGCTTCCTCAATTATTGCATGCTCCACAGATTAGATTCTCCAATGCTCAGTGTCATAAAAAAACACGAATAAAGGAAAAAGTTGTATTCCTAGAGAGCCATATCATGGTGCGGAATCTAAAGACCTAAAAATGATTTCTTCCTTGTCATGGAAATATTACAATATCTGGTCCTTAATTATTCAAAGAATTAATTCTTACTGAAGCTTAATACAGGTTAATAAAACAAGAATGTGCACTCAAGAGCTCTCTTTCTCATTGTAAACTTCCATTTTCAGAAACAAATAGAAGACGCAAATGGACAGCTCTAAAATAACTGAAGATAATGATATTCTTCCTATTAAGCTGACATCCACACACAAATGTGATGCATCTTTAAATATGCTGTGGCGGGGCCAGTGTTGTAGCATAGGGAGTAAAGCCACTGCCTGCAGTGTCAGCATCCCATATGGGCGTTGGTTCAAGTCCAGGCTGCTCCACTTCCAATCCAGCTCTCTGCTATGGCCTGGGAAAGCAGTAGAAGATGGCCTCAAGTCCTTGGGCCTCTGCACCCACATGGGAGACCTGGAAGAAACTCTTGGTTCCTGCCTTTGGATCAGCACAGCTCTGGCCGTTGCAGCAAGTTTGGGAGTGAACCAGCAGATGAAAGACTTCTCTCTCTATGCCTCTCCTTTTCTCTGTGTAACTCTGACTTTGAAATAAATAAATAAATCTTTAAAAAAAAATATGATGTGGCTACAAGACAGAACATGACTTGAACACTCAACACCTTCTAACTTAGGCTCAAGAACAAGCCCTAAATTTAGAAGAAGGCTAACTAAATTTTGGTTGGGTAAATCCTCCAGCTATCCAGACCAACATTGTCCCCGAATTTTAGAAGAATGTTAGAGATTAGGAAGATTGATCAACAACTGAGACAGAATCCGGCACCCTGACCGGAACTAGAACCCGGTGTGCCGGCGCCGCTAGGCGGAGGATTAGAATATTGAGCCGCGGCGCCGGCCCGAAAATAAAGTTTTATGCTTTCACAGCACACTTAAAACTATCATCTACATTTATGAAACATAACACAGGGGAAGATGTTGTGGCACAGCACATTAAACCTCTGATTAGGGTCATCATCCCATCTTGAAGTGTGTGGGATCGAATCTCACTCCCGCTTCAGATGCAGTTTCCTGCATCGTATGGGTATAAACTTTTCACATTTCAAAAATACTCTGATAAATAAGGTTTTCTTCTCCAAAGCTTTCTTTTTTATGAAAGACTTATTTCTTTATTTGAAACTCAGAGTTACAAGAGAGAGAAGGAGAGGCAGAGAGAAAGAGGTCTTCCATCTGCTGGTTCACTCTCTAATTGGCTGCAAGTGCTGGAGCTGCACTGATCTGAAGCCAGGAGCCAGGAGCTTCTTCTGGGTCTCCCCCATGGGTGCAGGGGCCCAAGGACTTGGGCCATCTTGCTCTGCTTTCCCAGGCCAAAGCAGAGAGCTGGATTGGAAGTGGAGCAGCCGGGCCTCAAACCAGTGCCCATATAGGATGCCTGCACTGCAGGCGGTGGCTTTACCCAGTACACTAGCACCAGCCCCGCCAAAGCTTTCTTATACTGAATTTTCTAAAAACTAAACTGCTCTAGGAACTGGAACTATGGCATAGGGTAAAGCTGCCGCCTGCAGGGCAGCCTCCAATATGGGTGCCAATTCCAGTCCCCTCTGCTCCACATCTAGTCCAGCTCTCTGCCAAGGCCTGGGAAAGCAGCAGAAGATGTCCTAAGTGCTTGGGTGTCTACTGCGTGGGAGACCCAGAATAAACTCCTGGCTTCTGGCTTCTGGTTTCTGACTTCAGATCATCCCAGCTCTGTTGTGGCATTTTGGAGAATGAACCAGTGGATGGAAGACTTTCCCTTTCTCTCTCTCTCTCTCTCCCTCTCTCCCTCTCTCCCTCTTTCCCGCTCTCCCTCTCTCCCTCTCTCCCTCTCTCCCTCTCTCCCTCTCTCCCTCTCTCCCTCTCTCCCTCTCTCCCTCTCTCCCTCCTTCCCCCTCTCCCTCTGCATCTCTGTAACTCTGCCTTTCAAATACATAAAGAAATCTTAAAAAAAAAAAACACTCTGGTAAGTGCTCTACAACTTCTCTTCTAATAACTAATTTAAGCTTACACCCATGTGATCTATGTACTTATTTAGGAGTGGAGTCAATGGCTTCACCTAAGCTGTGCCCAATTTACCACTCAAGAATCAAGTGCATCTGCATAAGACCAGGACTTAAAATGCAAGGTGAGGAGTGGGCATGTGACACAGAGATTGAGAGATGGGTTAGGATACCCACATCTCCATCAGAATAGCAGGGTTCAATCCCCAGCCCTGGCTACTTATGTCAGCTTCTGGTTAATGCAGTCCCTAGGAGACATCAGTTAGGGCTCAAATAACTGGGGTCCCCACCACCAACAGGGGAGACCTGAATTGAGTTCCTGATTCCAACTGACTTGACCCAGTCCTGACACAGCCCTGACCAGTGGAGGCATTTGGGGAGTGAACAAGCAGATGGCAACTCGGTCTTTCTCTCCTTCCTCTTCCTCCTCTCGCCCTCCTGCCCCTTCCCTCTCCCTCTCCCTCTGCCTTTCAAATAACCAAGAAGATGAAGAATGAGCATCTACTTCTGCTCTACATACTGAGTTTATCTCTTGCTTACCCACCAGTGAGAGGAAATGCCCAAGGGCAGCACTCAGTCTAGACTAAAACCTCAGCATGAAGCTGGAGGTAGTCCTCAAATAACGGAGGTCACCTCTGGGGCCCAGTGTGCTCCCTGAAAAACGCCGAAGTGTTGCCGAAATGCTTCATGGCTTTGCACTTGGCCACTTTGCTCAGTGAATATCCCCAGAATTTACATTGCGATCTTCATATGGAGGTTTGAGGAAGTTTACCTGGGAACTTTTTTGCCGTATGTGTGCGTAAATGGTTAGGTCTCTGCCGCAGTGCTCCTAGCTCTTCTTTTGGACTCCTATTTCAGTCACTCAGCATTATCTGTTTCCTCCATCAGAAAGCTCTCGCTCACCTCTCATATTCCTGTCATTGCTAACATAGCTCTAACCTAAAATTTAAATTTCTCAACCAGAATTATCTTGCCAATTGCCTGAAAAAAAAAAAAAAAGCCCTGCCTCTAATCTCATCTCCATTTTACTCATTCTAAACTACATCACAATATATAGCAACCTAAAACCATATTTATTTATTTATTTATTTACAAAATATACCATATATAGCAACCTAAAACTCTATTTTAATTAGTCCAGTATGAAGTTGAAATGTTCACAGTAATCAAAAATTCTGTTCAGGGGCCAGCATTGTGCTACAGTGGGATAACCTATGACACTAGCATCTCATACAAGCACCGGTTCAAGTACCAGCTGTTGCTCCACTTTTTTTTTTTTTATTTGACAGGTAGAAATACAGACAGTGAGAGACAGAGACAGAGAGAAAGGGCTTCTTTCCGCTGGTTCACCCCCCAAATGGCCGGTACTGCCAGCACTCTGCCAATCTGAAGCCAGGAGCCAGGTGCTTCTTCCTGGTCTCCCATGCGAGTGCAGGACCCCTGTCCGCCCGGGCCACAGCAGAGAGCTGGACTGGAAGAGGAGCAACCGGGACTGGAACCCAGGCCTATATGGGATGCCGGCGCTGCAGGCAGAGGATTAACCAAGTGAGCCACAGCGCCAGCCCTGCTCCACTTTGACCCAGCTCCCTAATGATGCACCTGGGAAAGCAGCAGAAGATGCCCAAATGCTTGGACCCCTGCCACCCACGTGGGAGATCCAGAAGAAGCTCCGGGCTCCTGGCTTAGGCCTGGCCCAGCCCCAGCCATGGCAGCCACCTGGGCAGGGGGAGCAAATCAGTGGATGGAAGCCATCACTCTCTCCTCTCTCTAACTCTGACTTTCAAATAAATAAACAAACCACTTTTCAAAGAGAAATTTAATGGTTATGGTCGATATGCAACAGAAAGAAAAAAATCTGCCACTAATTCCTGAGTACTTATATGGTGGATTTGAAAAGATATTGTAAGAGTCTCTGCGGGCCCCTCATGGCAACAGTGTCATTCAGCCCCATTGTTCCTGCTCCGCTGCTCTGCTCCTTAGCTTCCTGATAACCTGTGGGATGCGCCATTGCAACTCCCTTGCCCATCTCCCTGGGATGACTTCTCTTAAACACCTGTTTACCCTTTATTCTTGAAAATGGCAACAAAGGCTCTTTATTAGTCCCTCAGATCGAAAACCCCTAGGGAACATACTGTTTGTTAGCAAAATTGATCCCAAAGAGCTTGTTCTGCAGAGAAATTTTTATTACCTGGGATATTTAAAAAGTTAGTATGTTTCTTGCTGAATTTATTTCTCCTGGGAACAGAGATCCCTAGAAATTCTCAAGTCTTCGACACATTTTACAATTTAAAAACTATTTTAATGTACAACCATACACTTTCTATGCATGCGAAAAATACCAAAAAGTAGGGACTGGTATTCTGGTGAGGCAGGTTATGCTTGCAACGTTGGTATCCCACATAAGGACCAATTCCAGTCTTGGCTGCTCTGTTTCTGATCCAGCTCCCTGCTCATGAACCTGGGAAGCAGAGAGTACCAGCTGTTGCTCCACTTTTTTTTTTTTTTATTTGACAGGTAGAGATATAGACAGTGAGAGAGAGAGAGACACAGAGAAAGGGCTTCCTTCCGCTGGTTCACCCCCAAAAGGCCGTTACTGCCGGCACTCTGCCGATCTGAAGCCAGGAGCCAGGTGCTTCTTCCTGGTCTCCCATGCGGGTGCAGAGAG